TATATATATATATATATATATATATATATATATATATATATATATATATATATATATATATATATATATATATATATATATATATATATATATATATATTCTCACGTATTGATTCACGGATGGAAAAATGTGATGACACTATATTCCGGGATATCATCCGTTCGCTCGTTGAACTCCGACTGGAATCCTGCATCCGACTGGAATCCTGCAAATCTTGCATCGAACACAGTGTTCGAAGTGTTTTCGGAGCGCGAGCATTGAAGGTGCCAAGTGAGATTTTGGCGAAACGTCTGCAGGATTCCAGTCGGATGCAAGATTTGCAGGATTCCAGTCGGATGCAGGATTCCAGTCGGAGTTCAACGAGCGAACGGATGATATCCCGGAATATAGTGTCATCATATATATATATATATATATATATATATATATATATATATATATATATATATATATATATATATATATATATATATATATATTGAATGAACATTTATTAATTCATTTTTAAAAATGGGTTATACGTTAAATAAATGCCCTAATATCTATGATTTTTGAACAAAAAACGAAAATTATGAAATAGTAGAACATATGTATGTATGTATTTACATAATATATGTACATACAAATGGATTGTATATGTACTCAGTATATATAAACATAGTATGTATGCACATATACATAAATATTAAAGTTTACTCTTTCACTGGAAAAAAGTCAGTTATTTGTGACTGACGACCGGATTTCTTATTTTGGTTTTCAACAAAAGCTTCAATTTTATTTAATCAATCATAGAGGGAATCGGTTGTGTATTCAGTGGTTTTCAAATAGAAACGCAAGACAATCAACGGATTTTCAACCAATTAATTTGAAGGTGGTTGCTGAGAATCATCTTCCAATTCCTCCTCCATCGTGTCACTTTCGCAGTCATCTTCGATGCTTAATTGTACCGGTTCGGATCTGCAGGACTCGATAATATCGTCATCCACATGTATAAAATCGTTGATGGTGCTACCTTCTGCTATACCTCTAATGTTTGTCCAAGCTTTAAACTCGATTTCTATTTGTTTTTCGTCTTCACTCTTTTCTTTCAGGCGTCCACTTAGGAAAATCAAGGGAATCTCATCTTATTCTTCCCATTCAGAATACTGACCAAAACCGGCTCTTTTAACACAATTGGAAATTGTTTCAGGCTTAACGTCGATATTCCATGCGGTAGTTACGTCGTCAACACAATCCAATAGTGTAATTTAATTGTTTTTGTTTTCTTCGAAACGTTCCATTGCGGTGATGACTGAATGTTTATTTTTCAAAATTATAGACATTGTACTTGCCGAAATCTTTTGCCACTTCTTTTATAACCTTGAATTTTTGATCAACAGACAAAGCTTTTAAAGTACGTTTTGATGGCATATCAACAAATGCAAGAATCCAAAAATGTCTTTAATATAATGTGTAAATTGAATAGGGACAGTATTTTTCACTTAGTATTAACTAGTAAGTCATACAAGTGAACTTAGCAAGCACAGAAACTGAACTGCTTGCATATATACGTTAAAAAGACAGGTTAAGATCGGTCGTAATTAGGGGGTTCCCCGAGAAAATTCGGCTTATCGAAGTTGGCACCAAATGTTTCGTTCGAGTTATAAAGATATTCGAATAATCAAGACAAACTAACACGCATTTCCTACTTTTGACGCTATTGGGAACCAATTTGGTTCGACTTATTAAAAATTCGAGTAATCTTATATACATATATATATATATATATATATATATATATATATATATATATATATATATATATATATATATATATATATATATATATATATATATATATATATATATATATATATATATGTATATATATATATATATATATATATTCGCCGACAAATTATTTTTATTTTTAATATATTAACACAACGTCAAATGTCATTAATTGTTATATATGTCAAATATACAAAATGAGAATATTTTGAAAAAGATCGAAATTACGATCGAAACGTTAATAAATATTTAGAAAAATCACATTAATTGTTTTCGAGAGACCGAATACCCAAGAGAAATTGAAGGAAATATACACGCGACGGTCCAAGAAACTACATCCAATATATATATATATATATATATATATATATATATATATATATATATATATATATATATATATATATATATATATATATATAATATATATATATACATAGAAAATAGTTATTTTAGTTCGAAATTCGTTTAAGAAAGCTGGGGTTCAGCTTTTTGTGGAACAGAGTGTAAGATCGTTTTACTTGATGAAATTACAAGACAAAATGTTTCCTTTTTTTTATTATAAATGTGGGGTTTTAAACTAAAAATTAAATTTATTGGACTTTAAGGCATATTTTAATGGCTTTAAAATCAGACCTTGTGATATGTTCTGCATCTGGATAATGATATAGCTTTCGTGTAAAACAAACTAAATCCGGGCTTTATTTTATTTTCTCGAATATTCACATAAAATGGGGTTAAAGCCGAACCCCTGATTCGCCACCTGTTCCGGTTTACACCAATAAGGTTCTTGGGTAAACTTGGCTGTATTTCCGGCAATTACACCCCGATGCTCGATCGGTGCAATAATGTGACTCAGTTTGTTGAACATGGGGCTTTCGACCCAGAAGCAAAAACAATATTAAAGTTGTCGTCAACGTGTATGAAAAACTTTTTGTAAAGCTGTCAACATTGTTATTTACCATTTACATTAAAGTATTTACATCTACTTTTTGTATTGTGTAGTATTTTACTTCATATTCTGTAGTATGATGTAAAATGAGACGCGGATTTCTTGAAGCATAATTTAATTTTGTCATTTTGCACTTTATAATATTTTCCAAATTAAAATTGGGATTTAAATATTATGAAATATTAAAATAATTAAAACACTTTTTAGAGATAGCTATAGGTTTGGTATTATTTTCTCCTTGTAAACTCCTAAAATTTAGTTTATATAGTTTATCAGGCATTTCGAAAAGTTTTTCTATCATTTGTCGGTTTAGGTGTGCATATTTATAGGACATATAATTTTTTGAGTACTGCTGCAAAAAGTGTTTTTGTCAGAGGCGGTCTTAACAATAGCGCAAACACGCGTTTATCTGAGAATATAGACTTATTTGTGGCTGACGAATACAATACAATTCTTTGCATTTAGTTTTGAAACACCCTGCACACAAAATTGAAAAAATCCTGGGAGAAACAACCAAGGAGGTCCAAACAATCAACTGAAACGACGTAATGAGTATTAATAATCGAGGATCGTTTGCCTCTCGGCATACGTCGGCAACTACCACACCTATTGGACCTTTGTTTGCTAAAATTAAGTTAAAAAAGTTTTTGTGTCATTTGTCGGGCTAGGTGTGCACATTTATACCACATAAAATGTTTTGTGCTGTTTGTTTTGTAAAAAGGAGCATTTGATATTGACAGTATACAAGAATAAATCAAATTTAATTGCCAGTTCGGGAACAAAATTAAAATTAGTTTTAAAAAGAATAGTGAAATATATAGATAGGAAATACGAAAATCAATAAATCGCATGTTTAATACCCGCTCGTAGCAATAATTTATTAAGTAAGTTTCTTAATTTTCAATTAAAGTAACCCCGCAACTCCTTATAACAAAAACATCGACAAATTCCACTGTATTACTTTATTAATCCTATTTTTTCTTTCCTAAGTACTGTTTTCTAAAGCTTTATAAATACATAGATTGTAGAAACCAGGTCCGGTTCAAATGAAAGTGATGTCAGTATTAAAATTTTAAATAGAAATCTTAATTCAAACTCATAACCAAATAAAAATAAAAGACAGCTTTTAAAAATAGATATGGTTTATATTATAAAACAAGTAATTTGATACCAAATGGAAAAATTTAATAAAAGTAGAGAAGAACTGGGAAAAATGTAATTTAATTTGTAATTTCTACGATAGATTTCCTTAACAATGTATTGAATTATTTCATATTTTACTATTTCTCAAACTTGAAATCTTTAAAACGTAGTTTTTGTAGAAGCCTGAAAGTTAAAATTATCTCATTTTTTACCAGTTAAAATGCAAAACATTTTTTCATTTGAAGAAAGTTGTCTTCGAATTTAAAGAATCTGCAGAATATTGCTTAAAACGCTTCCTTTTTTCATAAGTCATATTTATGTCAATTCGAAAGAAGATTAGAAAAGGACGTCACGTGCACGAGGTTCGATTTTTAAAACTTAGTTGTACCGACTTTTAAGTCATATTGAACAACTTGGAAGCTTTTATGAAGCTTACCTAGAGGCGTATTGGGATACTTATGTAACTAACCAGAACTTTCGTAAGTGTGTATATTTTTTGAAATAAATATCTGGATAAAGGTTAGAATTAAATTGAATATTGAATATTTATTAGGTGCTTTAAGATTTATACGGATTTTACAGAGTAAACTATAAAACCTAAAGAGTAGAACTGTTATAATAAAGGGATTTAAGCACCTTTTTTTAAATATAAAGCTAAGCCTGTAACTGCAGTTAGGTTTTCCTATAAAACGATAAAAATTGTTATAAGAGCCAAGGTTTCTTATGATAAAACCGTAAGCTGTAGAAGATGGGGCGGCCTTCACAACAGCGCAAACAGGCGTTTATATGAGAATACAGACTTATTTTTGGATGACAGATCGAATACAGATATTTGCGTTTAGTTTTGAAACATCCTGCAGACAAAATCAAATCTAGTCGAATATTTTTGAAAAAGTCCGGCGAGAAAAAACCGAGGAGGTCGCAAATGATCAACTGAAACGACGTGACGGGTATTAATCATCGAGAATCGTGTGCCCCTCGGCATACGTCGGCAACTACCCCAAAAGGCAGCAATATCCACGTGCCCCCTTCGGCACCCCATGCGTCCCGGGCGGCCGCGTCGACGCCGTGACGTCGTTGCGCGCCGTGTCGCTATACGTCCACCGACCGGCCGTAATTCAGTGCCGCACTGGCCTGTGTTCCGTTTGCTTCGTTTTGGACATCGTCGAGTCCGCAGTGTCGCTGGTCTGTTGTACCCCGGTCGTCGTCGTCGTCCTCGTCGTCGTCGCGATCCTCCAGAGTGCCACCCCATGTGTTTCAGTGTCGTATTCGTAACGCGCAGTCACCATCACTGATAGCTGCCATGGGCCGCCGGCTAAAAGCCGCTGCCGGCTCGGGCTGACCGGGAAACCGCCATTTCTTGATTTAGCCGCCGCTATACGCACATTATGGCCCCCGAGAACTGCCCCCGACTCGTATACACGGTCGCGATCACCACCTTCCTGTGGTTCGCCTCAGGTACGTTTGGATTTTGCGTGCGATTTTTTCTGCGCGAGCCGGCAAACATTTTTAGGTTAGCCAGGGAGTACTGGAAGTCTCTGATGGTGGAACGTTCGAATCGCGCGAAACCCGCTCGATCGCCGAACTTCTAAAAATACACGGTTTTTACGCATAACATATCAACCGTGAAAATTTTTATAGCCTTGGAAAGTGCACCTTTGAAATAGTGAAAAACGATAAAATAACCGCAAGATAAATGGTTTTGGAAAGATATAAGATATAAGTTCGTTATAATACAGAAAATGCCATTATTTTGGAGAATAGAATATCTAAAGGCTACTTACAACAACTATTAGCATTGTGGAATTGACCAGTCAAGTATTTTGTGTCAATTGAACCAAAATAATTTTAAGAATACACACAAAATTTCTATTTATTTATATTGTGCGTTACGTCACCGTTGCTTCATTCTGAGAACTAAATGAAGTCAATATTTTTATTGGGATTCCCCGAATCGTATTCGGATATGCATTGAGCAGGGTGATAGGTAAATTGGAAAAACATCGAATTTGACTAGTCAATTAAGAAGTGGCCAATTGACCAACTTCAACACTAACAACACTCAATACTATGTTTCGTTCCAATTAGCTTAAATACCGAAAAATTATTTTTTGTTAGTTTTAATTTATATAAAAAAAGTTAAATGACAAGAATAAGTAAAATGTCGATAAATTAAAACAACTACAAAAAACTTATAATGACAATCCAATAATAATCTGACTCATTATAGTATAACAACTAGCATACGTGCTGAATCACTTGCTTGCTTGCTTCTAGATAACGGAGTGGCACTATGACTGAATATTTGGTGAATCTTCTAATGTTATCAATAAAGTTTGCTCTTATTTCTTTAATGTTTAATAAATTTTCTATTTCTCTTCCTCAGTATAAATTTGGTTTTCTAAATAATCCATACTCACTTAATTTTTCTTTTCTGGCTGTCGTGATTCAGGATAACGCTCAAAATATAAGCATTTTCATTTTTATTGCTCTCGATATAGCACTCAAACATGTTTAACTTTTCATAACGTACAATATGCAGTATATCCGGAAATTGGGGTTCCCAAAAAAAAATATTCTGTGCAGTCACGTACACCGATCTTCAACCGTCTAAAGATACACATTTTTTAAACAGAAAAAAAATCAATCTCGGAAATTGTCAAACACCTTTGAAATAGCGAAAACGGTAAAAAGATTGTCCACAGATTTTCGAGAAAAAAAAAGTTTATGATTTGCCTCACTTAATCGCATTTTTTCTCTTACGGAGTGTAATTTTTAACTAGAAAACACTCTAAACACATAATACGTGCTTAAAATATCAATTGATGATGATGATGCATTACAAGATGTTCGAGTTTAACAAAGGCAATTACGGGTATTTGAGAGAGAAAAAATAAATATGTTTTTGCTATAAAGCTACAACGCATGTTTTCGAGTTTTAAAAAAAATCGTTTGTTTCATTTACTGAAGCATATATATTTTTATGGTAAATTTATAATATTTTTAAGTTAATCAGAATGTAACAAATAAATATATTTTTATCACCTTCTCCTAAATCTTGTCAAGTATCTGTGCTTATTTTGGTAAATCCTTTTCAAAATATTAACTTACACACTTATACCTTAACTTACATTCAAATGATAATCGCTAAATTTTCCATATTGGCATAATCAATTCATATCGCAATTAATCCCTCCCCCAATTACATTAGAGTTAATTTAATTTTTTACCATTTATTTAATTCCATTGCCAGGATTTTTTCTGTGTAGTTAAAAAGATAGATTAAGCTGTTACTGCGGTTTGGTAAAAGTCGTGTTTAACTTGGAAATTGTCTTTGATGCCGCAATCGTGCAAACCTTAGAGTCTCTTAACCTAATTATAAGTCTAATCGCAATATGCGGGTACGTACAATGCTTGGATCGATCCGCCGTGATGTTTTCCTAAAGGTGCTAGATTTCTTCAGCAGTGATTTTATTTATCTAGAGAACTCCCAGCTTACCTGTGCAGGGTGGGTTAAATTGACACTCTCTTAAGACGAGACGAAAACTAATGTCGATTTATGGACCTAGATTTCGTACATGGATCAACTTTTTACGCATAATTTAATTTAGTAAATGTTACATTTTTTAAACCAATGTTTTATTAGTTATCAACTGAAAAATCTATTTTTATAGGGGACCCTCTATCTGAGTATCTCGAAAAACAGATTTTTTTAAAGCGGTTCCAATATATAATCCTATTATTAAAGACGTCTAAAAACTAAAACAACTATAAAAAAACCTTTAAGAGCGCGTCAATAATTACCTTGTACATTATATTATAGCAACTAGCTTAGGTTTTTAATCATAAGAGGTGCTCAATTTATCTTCTATTCTGCTTTTCGACTCTGCTTGTAATTGAAGCAGTGGCGTTATGGATCTGAATATTTAGAACTCTTCTAATATTATTAATAAAAGGTGCTTTTATTTATTCTTCGTTTTTGTTCCGAGTTTTATATATATCATTTTCAATTAATCTTCAATCTTCCTTGAAAATTTGGTTTTCTAAACGGTCCGTGCCAGCTTAAATTTGTTTTTCTGATATTTGTCACTTGACTCTCAAAATATAAGCAAGGCTGCGTTTCCACCTTTATTACTCTCGATATACCACTTAAACATGGCTTAACTTTTCATAACATGCAATACACATTCCTCACGAAGCGCTTTTAGAAAAAAATTCTGTGCAGTCTGGGGAGCAGTCACGTAAAATAGGTGAATTATTATGCATTTTTGAATTAAGGGGTCTAGGCTCGAGAAGTTCCCACATTTGACACTAAAAAATTTAGAACAAATATGGACAAATTTGCACCCATCATCAGGCTGTGTAACTCATACTCAGTGTTCAAAACTAATGCGATACATCAAAGGTAAAAACTATTTAAGTATTTAGTTGTTGTTAATGTTTAACGTTGTTTCTTCTGTTCTGCTTATTTAATAATTAATATGAAAAAAAGAAATTTTTACTAGCAATGATGACTTTAACATTTTTAAATGGAGAGAAAAATATTGCCATCACAGTATTGGGTCTTCTTATTGATTCTAGTTTAAGGGTTAATAATCATGTTGGTTTTTATCGTGTTACCAAACAACTCTGTAAGAAATCAGAAAGTTTTATTATTGCGGGTAAAACCTATACTGCATGTGCATTTATTTTTGTTTATGTTTTTTTTGTGTGGAGATAAGATATCATTATTTCATAATTTTCTTCTCTCTTGTTTTTGGCTGTTTAATCTAAATTACTTTTTGCCCTTGCTTGCACTCGAAATTTTGTTTTCTATTTTTTTTTTGTTTTCGTTTGTTTTCTAATGGTTATATTGAGAAGAGTATTGAATACGAATATCGCCACCTCCAAATACCTTTAATGTCGTAGCTGTAATAAAGGCATTATTTATTTATTTGTTTATAACAATATGAAATTTAGACTACTTTTTCAAAAATGTTATCCAATATTTTAGGTACTTGAAAAAGAAGCCAAATATTGAGTGCCGTATATTGTTGCATCTTCACGAAAGAATACGGTCCACAAGTATTAATTTTTTTTGCGCGCCTCTGAATTCTACTTAAAATCACATAAAACTTTTAGATTTAACGTTTTTTCTTTATTTCCGTAATATAACCGAGTGAGAAATACACAATACCTTCTAATCCAATGTAGATCTGATTTCGGCATTAAACAAAACACTAAAAAAGATAACTAAGCACATATCTCATGTCTCAGAATTTAGTCCATACCCATACCCCATACCCTATATCAACGAAAAAAAACAAATCCTATTATTTGTGTGTTTTATTTTGCACCCGCTTTTATTCTAAGCTGAAAAATTGCGAGTTATATCGAATATCCGAATTAATAAACAAAGCTAATTCCTTAACGATTCGTTCGATTTTCTTAATTACGGAGCTAAGCCGGTTCGTTAAACGCGTAAGTAGGGATTTAAGTTCGAGCCACTGCGTTCGACCCTCTGCGTGATCGATAGTCACGCATTCCTCGCAGAGCCGTTTTTGGAAGTGGGCCGAACCGTCTGAAAGTCGGTCTGCAGGAATGATTTAGACGACTCAGGAAATTTCATCAGACGACGACGACGGTAGCGGGCCCGTTGAGATTTTGGCGTTTGACCGGCCGGCATTTTTCAATGGGCCGCCAATATAATCATTCGCCGAATTCCTACAGATTGACGCGCCGGTATCGTCGATCAGATACCATTGATACGTTTCAAGCAGTGGCGTCGAAATCGTTTGGTATCCCAACGAAAACGACGTTTTAAAAACGTGTTTAAATTGCCTTATTTCCCATCCGGCTACACGGAAAAAGAAAAATACATTTGAGCATATACTCAAGAGTACTAAACGGCTTAAAATAGAAATGGTAAATTTTCAATATCTTAAGTTTCTTTTAACAAAATGAAATGCTTCGTTTGAGTATTTGAATTTTTTTAGACAAGAATGTAGGTAATTCAAATTAAATATTCATCGCTTCGTTTTAAAAATACAAAGTTACTCTAATTAAATGAGCATAATTGTATATTTAATTTTTGCACGTTTTAAATTCGTTTGATATATACTTAAAAATATTCATATATTTGCAAGCATTATGTCAATTCCATCCAACAAGTTTGTTTGATCTTATCCCAATTTCATACTTAAAGGGAGGAAATTTTTGTATAATTTTATTTAGACCATTCTGCCAATGGAAAACTTTTATTCTGGTAGATAGGAAAATACATGCAAAAAATATAAATAGCTCTCCCGCTTATCTTTTTTATTAAAATATTGATATTTATTGACCAATGATTTTTGATAATTTTTAAAAAACAAAGTTAGTTAAGAAATACTTTTAAAAGTGGACTTTTTCAGAGGTATTTCAAAAGATACATTAATAATTACGACGAAAATAAATTTCTATCATTGTTAAAGACCTGT